AGATTTTCAAAAAACTCTTAAGTACAACTCTTCAAACATGTGATACAAGCTTTTTATGCATTGAGTGTATTAGCAGACCTTGCTTTTTCTCTTCTCCTCTTTCTTCTTCCCTTTCCAGCTTTCCTTTCCTCTTTCCATCAAAGTCTTCACTTTCTTCAACTTTTACTTTCCCATTTCAAATTCAAAATTCAAAATTCAAAATTCAAAATTCAAAATTCAAAATTCAAAATTCAAAATTCAAAATTCAAAATTCAAAATCAAAGCTTCAAAAGCATGGTCATCTCCTCCACGTCTCTCCAGTCTCCATCTTGCTCTCCTCCACCACAATTCCCATCTTCCCTCGCTTCACATTCTTAGCTTTGTGATTTCAAGATGGATTCCGACTGCAAGAGTCCACAGCACCGTCCAGAGATGATTGAATATTGGGGAATATATTTGATGGTATCCAGGTTCGCAAGCTCCTGTTTGCTGTATTTTTGTTTCAACCATATTTGTGCTATATTTGCTTTTCCTTCTTCAAGAGTTACCAACTGCAGTTTCTTTTATTTCTCAACCCATGATTCAGAGGCCTCTTAAGACTATTGCAAAAAGATCAGGTGATGTCTACATTCCTCGTGGTGTATCTGTCAGCTCTTGACAAGGATATACTCTGGGAATTCCAGCCTAAATAACTAGGTGATTATACATTATCCTCTTTTCAGTGGGTTTGTAGCCTGGTGGTGCCAGTTTTTCTAAATATCTTAAGGATGGGTCGTGAAATCTCTATACACCCCTGAACTCTAGAAAATTGTGGATCCTTATGTTCCGAAGTCTGAAGTTKTTTCTGTTATGGAAATTTTGTTAATTTCAATCTGTTTTCTGATGTCAGGCGAGGGAGATCTTGTAACAGGTGGAGATCTGTATGCTKTAAGTCATAACATCCCTATTATTTACAAACTTAAAAAAGTTTTCGCCTGTTCATCTGTATCCAAAATCTTTATTTCCCCTAAATTGTTAACTTCTCTTCTCACTTCTCTACAGACTGTGTTTGAGAACAGTTTAGTGGAACATCACATTGCTCTACCTCCTGATGCCATGAGAAAGATAACATATGTTGCACCACCTGGTCAATACTCATTGAAGGTTTTTTTGTTAAACTTCTTTTACCATCTTGAACATTGTAACGCCCCCAGAACCCCGTAGCAATGATATTGTCCGCTTTGACTAACCTGCCTGCTTAACCGCAAAGCAGTAGCCGCACGGTTTTGTTTCTGGCAGCCGCACAACGCAAGCCCCAAAACCGGTCATGCTAGGATGAGGTATCCACACCCTTATAAGGAGTGTTTAGTTCTCCTCACCAACCGATGTGGGACGGGATGATACAAACATGCCTTTTATAAATCCACAATTTCATCTCTTCTGTCGACATTTACCCCCAACACCACACCCACCGACGATTCCGACGCCACTACCAAGAAGAAATACTTCACATCTACAAGATTTAGGGGCCTGGGATGTACTGCGCCGGCCCAAGTGTCGGTGCCGGCGATGATAAGGACGTCGGCGAATTGGGAGGGGAAGAAAGTGAGGAAGAAGAAATTGAAACTGAAAAAGAACAAGAATTGTTGTGCTTCTTCTTCTGGGAATGAAGTTGGTGGGGATGGGATTGGGTTGGTAATTTCGACTAGCAATACACCATCTCCGACGCCGGTGCCGGTGCCGGTGCCGGCGATGGCGAGTTCGTCGTCTTGTTTGGTTGTTCCTGATGTTTGGTGTGGTCCTGGAATTGGGTTCTCTACAGATGCTGCTTCTGTGGATTGTGTGGTCTCAAGGAGGCCAGTTTCTGGTAGAGGGAAAGTTGATGGTGAAAAGATAAATCTAAGAGAGGTATGTTTAACTTTTACTTTTTTTACTTCAAATATAATTTATACAGTTACATTTTTACTGTTTAAATTTACTGTTTTGATGTAATCCTTCCATATCTGAATTCAAACAACTGTACTTTTCATTGCCTTAAAGCCTTAAAATTCACATCAATTTGCAGCTTGATTTCAGATGGTGTTAATGGGAAGGATTATAGATGATCTTTCATGTTTTCCATTGTTCAAATTTTGGTGAGGTTTATTGGGTTTGAATTGAAATTAAAGATTTTCTTGAAACATTATTTGATTTTGATGGCAGAGAGGTTCATGTGGTCCAAGGAGAATGGTGCATCC